ATGACCCTGTTTTTTCTGCAGGCTCCTTCACTCTTTCATATGCTGATCCTATGGAACCACCTATGTTAACTACACATTTCTTTTCTTTTTTTTTTTTTGGTCGGTCCTGGGGCTTGAACTCTGGGCCTGGGCGCTGTCCCTCAGCTCTTCAGCTCAAAGCGAGTGCTCTACCACTTGAGCTACAGTGCCACTTCCGGTTTTCTGGTGGTTTATTGGAGATAGGAGTCTCACGGTCTCTCCTGCCCAGGCTAGCCTTGAACCGCGATCCTCAGATCTCAGCCTCCTGAGTAGCTAGGATTACAGGCGTGAGCCACCAGCACCCGGCCAACTACACGTTTCTTTTCAGCATCCATCTTCATATCATTTTCATGGATTCAGTAGTTATTTCTTTCATTTTCTGTCTCCTTCACACTGTTCTGAGTACATGAATATATTTACTTCCTTAGTTTTGACCTTCGTAGGATTCCTGCCATTGGCCAGGGTTCAGATCAATGCCATGTCAACTCTTTGATCTCTGTTTGTTATATTTGTTGCTTCAAATAGCAATGAAAGATTCCTTGATGCCATGCCTTCATAATATTAAATCATAATTTGCCTGTCCTTCTTCATCACATTTCTATACCCCTCTTTGGTTGTGATCTAGCTTAACTCACATCTTCCTACTGCAATCCAAATCTGAAACTTCCCAGTGTTCATTCTGGCCCTCTGTAATGCCCTTCCCTACCATTTATATTCTCCCTGTCCCTCCCCCATCTACATTTTACTAAGCTCTTCCCTTTTTAATTCTAGCCTCCATTTTCTCCTGTGATATTTTCATGCAAGTCTCCCTAAGATAGGTATTTCATTTTAGCCAGTCTGCACAAAGCAAGGTAACTTTTATGAGCAACTTTAATGGAATACTATTCAATAATCTACAGTATCTTAACTGCCAACCCTTCACTTTCCATCTCTCTAAAGAAGACATAGATTTAGATTCTTCTTTTCAGATGTACTTTCTCATAATCACTCATTGCCCATCTAATAGCATCAATCCCTTCTTTGGACAAACTACTTGCTAACTCCCTCTAATTATTAATCCTATCACCTCTGTAAAGTTACCAAAAATAGTGTGTATATGTGTGTGTACGTGTGTGCCTGCGTGCCACAAGCATGTGTGCATGCATGCGGTCCTGAGCATGTAATTCAGGGTCTAGATCATGTCCTGGAGCTTTTGGCTCAAGGCTAGCACTCTACCACTTTAAGCCACAGCTCCATTTATGGCTTTTTGGTGGTTAATTGGACATGAGTCTCATGGACTTTCCTACCATGGCTGGCTTCAAACTGTGATCCTCAGGTTCCAGCCTCTTGAGTAGCTAGGATTACAGATACACAGCCAGCAATAGCTTTTTTTTTTAATCATCAGTCATCTTAATCAGCTTCTTTATGTACTACGCTACTGGGTAGTACATAAAGATCAGATTCTTTAATTTTTTTCCCTCCAAAGCTTCAAGAGGTGATCTGCTTTGACCTACTACTCAAGTCCTTCCTCATCCTTTCTATTTATTCCCATGACCTTTATGCCCAATTAGACCTAGAGTGACCTCTGACAGGACTCTGTTCATTATCTTTATTCCATACCCACTCCCTATTGGCTCTCTACCATATATTTCCTTTCCTTTGCTTCCAAGAATGTTTTTAGCTTTTCAGTCTTATCCTTTAGTTGACTGGCTCCTTTTGATCTCATGGTAACTTTAATGTTGCCTGTCTATACTATTCCTCCTTTTCTCCTTATATTTGTCCTACAGAAAAACCTTAGTCTTCAATATCTCTCTTGCTTTGTGTGTAGTGTTCCCATGGATTCAGCACTGCTTGCTGGGTGGTTACCTGCTCTTTGTTTCGGGCCCTCACAACTCAATGTGCTTTCATCCTCCATGATTTTCTGCACAGTATACTGCATTTTTTCTTCTCAGTTAAGTACAGACCTAGGAGGATTGCTGCAGTTAGCCTGTTTTAAAGTCCATCCCTTTTATCCTCTTTTTTACTCTTTTCCCCTGTTGGCAAACCCTTTCATTATTTTAACAATGCTTTCTGGAACCTCTCCATAATACTTTGTCAATCTTTCCTCCATGGTGAAAACCTGACTTCTTTCCAAATTTCAACTCTGTCACTTGCTATATTGTTGTTTTACCATGCTGCATACTGTATGCACATCAGCCTAACTGACACATCATTGTCCTTCTTAGCTTCTATCACCCCTCTTTTCTCAAATTCATTCTTTTCCACTAATCTCAGTAGTTAACTCCCATTTTCAGCTAGTCCTTACAAGATAAACCTCATTTCTGAGAATTTTTGGAATTTCTGGAGTAGTAGGGTTTGAACCTCTTAATTGCTAGTCGGGCACTCTACTTCTTGAGTCTCTCCACCAGCCTTTTTGCATGGTTATTTTTTGAGATACAGTCTCAATCCATGTGTCTGCCTAGGCTGATCTGAATCTACATCTGTTTGTGTTCCTCTAAGTAGTTAGGATGGGTTTGAGATGGGATCTTGAGAACTTTTTGGGTAGGCTGGCCTCAAACTCTTCATTTTCTCCTAGGTAGCTAGGATTACAGGCTTGAGCAATTTCTTGCAGCTTCTGAGGACAATTTTAATGTAGCCTTCAGGGTATACTTTCCTGTTCCCCTTAATTATGTATCTTGCCTATTCATGAAGTGCTCTTCTTCCTATGTGGCAGTAAATTTAATATTGTGCTCTTGCCCTGGAAAGGTCCCTCTTTCCTACCCTCTTTCCCTCTCCTGTTACCCAGGTATCCTCTCCAGCCACACAGATAGAAGACTACCTGTGGCTTTTATTTGAGCTTACCTTAGAATCCCTGTAACCTCTCTCATTTTATCAACCAAACCACTTAAGAAAACTGTCACAGAGTTCAAGAATATTTTCCCTACTAATGTCAATCTTATTTATTTACTTCCTCGATCTGTTTCTCTATAACCTGTGCTTCTTATTTAAGCACCCTCTCTACTTATACACAATATTCAACCAGTGTGCCCAAATCTGTGATCTACCATTGTCTCCCATTAGTTTGTGTCTCTTTAGTCCTCTTCTTCATCTGCATTAAAGCCTTTTTGCTTAATTAGAACCAAACTGAATGTATCTTGACTCTTCATTCTCACTTTTGTCCTATCATAATTCTACATCACTTTTTCATCCTTTTAAAAAAAATTACCTCAGCTGACCTATACTTGATTTGTGTTAACTACATCTTTCCCCTTTCCTAGAAAAAAAATAATCTTAATTTAACCAATCACTCTTTCCATCTATCACTTACTAGTACTGAAACAGATTCTGCAGTCTTGATAGATATACTCTGTCCTACACAGTCAAATCACTACCATATCTTTTTTAAATGCACACTACTAGATCCATCTGCTTTCTGAATTCAGATTCATGTTAAATAGGATTTCCAACAGTAGTCAAGTTAGGCACTATCTTTTCCAGCTTATCTTGGACTCAAAGTCCATCATGAAATAAAAAGTATTTTATAATTTATTCCTAAACATAATCTCATCATCACCTATTTTCCAGCATAACTTACCCTCAACTTACTTTCTAGCCCCTTTCCTTTTTCTTATTACCTTCCACTGCTTACCATCCCTTCTGCTACCTTCTGTGTTCAAGCTAAATTGTTACATCCTTCTACATTTTTATAATTTCTTCAGGCTGTTAATCCTGCAACTTTACATAATAATACTCTATTAAAATTTATATTAAAGAACCTATGGGTCCAGGTGTGGTATGAACATCTTACAATCACAGCACTTGAGAAGCTAAGCCTAAGCTACTACAAGTACTAGTGCGACATAATCTAAGGAGGAATGGAGGGGAGGGCAAGGGAGTGGAAGGGAGAAATTTATACCATTTAGTCATAGTGTTACAGATACATAAATTACACACACACACACACACACACACACTCCACACAACACACACCATACTGCACTGCACTATGCTTAACTATTAAGATTATCAGCTCTTTGAGGCTGATAGCATATCTCAATCATGTTTTTGTTAAGTATCCAGCACATTAGCTTATATCTTTACATGTAGTGACAATTTGGATGGATGGATGGATGGATGGATGGATGGATGGATGGATGGATGGGAGACTGATGATTAAAGACATAGAAGATATGTCTTAATATCTAAGCTATCATATATGTTCTCTATATTTGAGTTTATTACTTCTCCTTATTTACCCCCCAAATAACTTTTTAAATGCTATAATTTCTAATATTTCTTATACTTATAAGACTTTTCTAGACCTATGTTAGATCCTAAATGCCTTTTCTTCACCTCTAAATTTTGTTCTTCAAGCAGTTTGGAAAATCTTATTTTCATGAAGACTGCTTTCTACAAATGTCCCAACTCGATTTATTACTTCCACCGGTCATCTGAGACATGCCATTTTTAAAGACACTGACTATCAGTACTAGACTCCTTCATTGTTGACGTATTCACTGTGGTTGAAAGTTGACCTAAGTTCATTCTGGTTATCTGTGGACCCGCTGTCAGGCCACAATCTAAAGACAATATTGAAACTCTGATGCACTTGATCAGTGTCAACTTGATCATCTATCTGAAGGCTTTTTTGGTTTCTCAGGACCTTCAGTAGTGGTTATCTTTCATTATACAAGCCCTTTTGACAGGCATGGCAAACAGCTCTCTATAAAGTATTTCCCATGCCACTTTCTTCATAGCAATGCAAAAACTGTTTGTCCATGCCATCTTTTCTGTACCATTCTAATCCACAATGCAGAACAGACTTTTAATATCATAGTTGCTAGACTGCAACTTGACCTACTTGCAGGCTGCTTCAAAAATGACTACCCTAGAAACAAAACATACACACATTTCACCTAAAAATGTGGAACACATTGCTGATGCTGAGCACAGCTGCTGCTTCCTAGAAAACATCATGCTTGTGTCACCCACTTATGTGGGTTTGCCTTCATTTTCTCCTCCAGTTGCAGGCACCTTTAGTTGCACCATGAAGTTTACAGTCCGGGACTGTGACCCTAACACTGGAGTTCCAGATGAGGATGGGTATGACGATGAGTATGTGGTGAGTCTTCCCTGCAGACTTTGACATCTTTACAACATTAAGTGACTCCTGCCATGAGAGCATTTTCTAGGAACAGTTGATACAAACTTAAGGGGTTTCTGTTCTTCTCAAATGGATAACAACTAAGAAGGACCAAGACTAATCCTCCTCTGTAATGGAATTGCTGCATCATGCCAAAGAGATTTGAAATGTACCACTTCTTAAAGGGAGAAAGCCTTTTTCCCCCTTATAAGGATTACTAGGATATAAACGTAATTAAATGATTTTTTTCATGAAATTATACATAAGCTCAGTTTTAAAGTGAGTTATTTTGGTTTTGCTTCACTAAGTTTTAGTTTGCTATAATATAGCTAGATCATGGACAAGAAAGAACTGCTAGCAAAAGCAAATTTTAGAAGGTACTAGAGGCAAGAAATTGAGGGTTGGGTGGGGCAACATGGCTATAGTGCACCTGAGGGCCGTAGATGTTGATCATGAATTTGGCTTTTGCTAGATGTTCTGTTTTTCTTGCTTTTCTGTGCTAAGGCCTATATAACTAAAAACAATTGTGGTAGGAGTTTTACCTAGGTCCCTGCAGAGACGTAGCACAGAACAATAAATGACTAGTTCCTTCTGGTTTTGTTCTGTTCTCAAAGGACTTTCCCTGACTGACCCTTGCTTGTTGTCCATTAGCTGGAAGATCTTGAAGTCACTGTGTCTGACCACATACAGAAGGTACTAAAGCCTAACTTTGCAGCCGCCTGGGAAGAGGTGGGAGATACTTTTGAGAAAGAAGAGACTTTTGCTCTGAGCTCTACCAAGACTCTTGAAGGTGAGAACATTTTTTTTTTTTGCTGGTATAATTATCTCATAGTGGTGGAAAGCCTAATAGACATGTGGTATTCCAGAAGTCTTTTTCCTTTAAATACTTTGGAAGCCATTTACTCAAAAGGCCAAGTTCCTGGCTTCATCATGCAATTGATTCAACTATTTCTTAGCGAGTAGCTTCCCTGTGCATTCAAAGCACCAGAACATGCAGGGGCAGAGGCAGATCCCTATACTTAATTTCCTAATAACTGTTGTAAAAACTTTCTCAACACAGAAGCTGTCAATAACATCATCACATTTCTGGGCATGCAGCCATGTGAGAGGTCAGATAAAGTACCTGAGAACAAGAATTCCCATTCACTCTATCTGGCAGGTAAGAGACTTCCATCAGATTTCCCTTAATTTTGCGGCAAATTTTAAAGGAAGGGATCAGTATGGGCAGCCATACAGCTCTTAGAGCTGTTGTCCCATCATCTCATTCTGTGAGTTACTATTTGAAGCCCAGTCAATGACTTTATTTTTCTAGGATGTACATTTGGCCTAAAACATTAACTTATATCTCACACAGATACTAATTATACTGCCTCTACTGAATACCTGCTATGTACCTGGCTCTCACAGGAATGGGTGTTTTGGTTTGAAGTTAGATTTATACGTAGGATTCATTTCTTACAAATTTCTAAACACTAAAATAATAGAAAGGAGACATGGGCAGAGCATGATACATTTCATCATTCATAGCCTACTTTGAGTTCTTACTGTGGTTTTCCTCACTTTTTCTCTCAGGTGTTTACAGAGGTGGCTATGATTTATTGGTCAGGTCCAGGCTGGCCTTAGCAGATGGAGTAACTATGCAGGTGACGGTCAGAAGCAAAGAGAGAACACCTGTAGATGTTATCTTGGCTTCTGTTGGATAAGTACTTACTGGGCAAGAGAAAGTTGCAGTATACTTCCCTCCTGTTTTAGGGTAATAGCATGAATTCCCAAAATAACAAAGATTAATAACTTTGGAGGAGCAAATTAAATGTTTTGGCCCTGAGCCAGCAGATCAAACAAATGTCTTTGTGCATGGGTTTTGTGTTTATTTCCTTCCTCTTTGTCTCGCTTGGTCAGCTTTGGTATGATAGTCCAGCTTTGAGTGATGTTGAAAATCAGTTAACAGCCTATATTCCTGTTGTTTAAAAGTAACCTCATTATATTCTCTCATGTAATGTATGAAAGCCCCTGGCAATGTTGGAAATTTTTATCCCAGAGGAGTAATGGGGAAGGGGAAGCCAGAATCCACTTTATCGTAATTCATTTTTATTAATAGAAAATAAACACTTATTCCAGTTTCAAAGTTGTTATACTTGAAGTTCCTAATCCTAAAATTAAAAAAAAAAGAATTTAATCACTTAATTCTTTTTCTACTAAGACAATGAGACTGTGGCTTAAAAAAGAGTGTTCAGCACCATTTGCTCAGGGTCTTTCAAAATTTGTTGTGAAAGTGTCTAGGAACTTTGCCATCTGTAAGGTGTAGGAGTTGCTGAGCTGTGTGAGGAAGCCTCTCTAGGACAGACAATAGGGAGCTAAACATCACCACAAGTCAGTGTACGTTCAGCACAATAATCTGCTCTGTAACAAGTCCCTTTCCCTCCCCTTTCACTCCAGAGGGACATGCTTCTAAGCACTGAGGTATGAGGAGTCACATTATTATTGGCTTTCCAGCTAGTAGCGGTAAATATCTGGCACAGATGCAATTGGTCCTTAATGTCCTGTGATTTTAGGAAATTCTGTAAATAATTTGGATGTAGTTCAATTTATTCAGACGTTACCACTCTTAATTAGGTTTACTACTCTGGCAGGGGAAGGGTCTGCTGGTTTAGCATTCTTATAAAACATATACATGTGTGGGCAAATCATTGTCTTAAGGTATAATTATGGTACTACATTATTTAGACTAGTATCTATTTTAACAAAACATCCACAATTAAAATAGCTGATGAAACTAAATCCACAGTTAAGACAACAGATTCACACTCACTTAAGCAATGTTACTTAGAGAACTTAAAAAAAAAAAAAAAAACTATGTGCTCTTAAAGCCATGTTAGGAGAGGTAAACAATCCCTTCTCATTCTTTACTGTGGGATTTCACTTGGGATCAAGACAGAAATTCCCATATCTAAATTTCAGAAAAATCCACAGGAGTATTAAAAGTCTTTTATGCAAAGTGATGTCTAATGCCTATCTTCCTGCATCAGTAAGAAGTAATGCAGACCAGAATTTCCTAATAACACAAAGGCAAGTCCACTTGATCAGATGTCAGAGGACTGAGGTGGACTACTATGTCACTCTTACTTGGAGCTTTTGCTGCCTTTTTCTATATTCTGCTCAGCAATGTGAGTAAAGTGGACTTTTGTTAAGAGAATGGTGTTTGGTTTCCAGGACCTCTTTTGGGCATTTCTTCCTAAGTGGAATACACAACAAGTAAGGGAAATGGGGGAGGTAATACGGGGAAGCTACTCTTTCCAGCTCAGAAGGAGTTGATGAAGCCCATATATGCATTCAAGAAGCCCATGGGATCCTCTAGCTGTGGGTAGTGGCTAATGTGGTCATCCAGAATCGACACTGTGGACCGCGGCAGCGTTTTCCTAGTGGAAGAGAACAGCACGTAGGTGAACTGGTGAACTTGAGGCTGGAGGATGGGGGGGATGTAAGCCAGTGGGAAGCCCCAGCAAATGCCTTTGCAGACGTACTACATTGGAAAGAATTGACAAAGAGCTTATTCTCTTTCCACTATGGAATTGTATCTTTGGTCAATAAACTTACTAATTAAATATACAGACTAACAAGACATCTTGAAAATAAAACATCTCAACAACAATGGTCAAAACAGAATGACTTCCAACTCCTTAGAGGAACACTAAGCAACTCACTGCCAAAACAAAGGTAACAATGGACCTCCCTTAATTGAAGGAGATGCTCTGAGATGATTCTGTTAAAATTTTAAGCAAGATGTTTACTACCAGGTTATGCCCGCTAGGACATTTGGTGGTATGGAGCATGCTTTTGTGACATAGTCAAGATTTCATACTCTGACACCTTTGGAATAAGTGCCCAGAGAGAATAACAACCAATGAGAAGGCACTGTTCCCCAGTGAGGTGATCTCAAGCTCTCCTTGCAGTCTGTTCAATTTAGATCAGCGAGGTAGCTTTGCAGTCAGATTAAAACAAACATTTCTTAAGATATATCCACTTTCACTCACATAACTTTTTCTTATCTCTACACCTAGAAATGTGAAGTAGCCATGACAGTGAAAACAGGCTGAATAAGAGAACATATAACTGAATCTCTTGATCTTTATATTTATGTGAGAGAATAAAGATTTCCCAACTTGTCTTTATGTTTCCTGGACAAAAAACAATGTGGTCAGAAACAATAGCTAGTGCCAGCAACCCTCAATAGTAATTCCTGTCAGTCAGGAACAAAGATCTCTGAGGGGTACTCACCTGTACAGCTCCAAAAACTCTGGGTAGGGATTTATAGGATCCAGTGGCCCATAGATAAAATGAACTAGGTAAGAGAAGAAGAAAGACTTAATAACAGCTCATATGTACTCTCCTTTTGTAACTCTAAAATTAAGTCTCTTCCATAAAAAAGATATATGAAAACCTAGCTTCTTTTGTTAGGAAGGCTATGAAGAACTGCTGGGAACAAGCCAGTCAGTTCATTTGGCACGTTTTCTCCAACATACAGCCATTTGGTCCCTCCAGCTTTTTTGTGCCCTAAACAAAAAAAGATTAAATCCTACTTTAAACATTTGCCCTGATGCTTTAGATGCTTCTTCACTCTAACATGTCAGTGGTATTCCAGATACTGGGAGTAGAGTTGCCAGTGAAATAGATGACGCCTGTTAAATTTGAATTTCAGATAGAAAGTCTGTAGGTTTTGTTGAAGAGGGAGGAGGTTGATACAAGTATTTCCCAGATATTGTACAACACATATTTAAGTACTAAAAACTTCTTGTTTACCTAAAATTAGATTTAACTAATGTATTTTTATTTGCTAAGTAAACACTGGAGGCGATAGGTGTTGGGATTATTTTAACCCTGCCATCCTAAGTTTTCTAGCCAGAAGAAATATAAAAATATTCACACAGAAACACAAAAATACTCACTGGGAATCGTTACAGAGGCAAGTGCTCCCACCCAGCGTCTTCTAAACTTTTTCCTCTGATTAATGTACTGCAAGAGACTATAGGGCAAGTAAGTCAGCAAAAGAAGAAGAAGAAACCTTTATTATGTAGTGAGATTCAAAAGCCCCCCTGAAGCTTAATTCAGAGGCAATTTGGGTTTCCTGGGAATAGCCTACCATGTGAATGGGACTGTCAGTGATCATGCCTACTATGACCATAAGTATTAAGTGCCTTTTAGGCAGGAAATAAGATCATAGAAGAGCTGGAAGTTGATTTTGGAGTATCCATGTCATTAAAACCATGGTTTAAGTTTCCAATTTTGGCTCTACCATTGACCAGCTCTTTGACTCAAAGATGTAACACATTATCTTCTGACCTCAGTTCCTCATTTTTAAATAAGAGGACAGACAGAGCTACATGATCTCTAAATTGATATCCACCTCAAAAGTTCTAAAAGGAGTTCATAAGCACAAAGTTTCATCTCTGAACTTCATGTGATCATAAAGAGAACAAGGAAAATTCCTCATGCTGCAATGTACAGTCAAAAGTCAAGTGTTCTGATTGTTTTGATTGGGATCTCCACGGTAGTTATTTCTGTAAACTCAATTATTACCTCTGAGGAGGCCCATGGATCCAAGACAGGCCCCCAGACAAAAAAACCCAAGACCTTATTTGAAAAAAATAAAGCAAATGTTTTGGATGGGGCACTGCTTTAGTGAGGTCCTGAGTTCAAATCCCTTACCACAAAAAGAAAGAAGAAATAGTGTTTACTTTTTGGAAAGGAAAATAGAATTTTTATAGGGAGATATGTTTTTAAGTTTTTTCCTCTTGAAAGGCACTTTCATGAACTTGTGGAATTAGGGTGGAAGGAGGAATGGCCCCCTGATATATACAGTTCCCAGCAAAGCCATCAAATAAAATGCCAGAAGCTATACTAATCCTGCTTGCTAGTAAAAGGATAAGACCTCATCTTAAGTAGCTATGGCTATTTCTAGTCACTATTTCTAGTATTCCAAGGCCTAGGGATTCCCAGTTGCTACCTTGAGATATTAGATTCCTTTCACAACTCTGATTAAAACATATTAGAACACTTAAAAAGTCTAAAGAAGGATTTGCCAGCCAGTTGGTTACAAGCTGAATTAGCATCAAAATTTGTAGCTTTTCTGTACCAAATGGCTTAGGAGCAGGGTGAGCCCTATGCTTGACTTCTTTTTTCTGTGTTTGCTGCTTCATAGTTTCTAATTTGCCTTCTTGTGACCAGGAATGTGTCAGTAAGGAGCAAAAAGCAATTCTTCATCCTTTCCCACTCTCCAAAAGAATCCAAAGCGAAGGCTTAGTTCCTACCTGTCGATGACCAGGTTCCCATCGTTGTTGCGGATTCCAGCCCACATGTCCCACAGCTCACTCTCAGAGGGTCGAGTGTATGGTCCGAAGACAGGGGTGAGACTGAAAAGAGTGCAAAATGTAGGAAGATGAGTGCGGGGAAAAATCAGAACTAAAATCAGCTAAACATGGCTGCAACCTCAGAGGTCATGCAGTCTGACCCATTCCTTCTATTCTGGTAAGGGGCCAACACCTTTGCTTAAGAATATTAAAGCCCAAGCTTTGGCTCAGACTTGTAAGAGCAGCAACTTTTCCCTACACCACTCCCAGGCCACAGTTCATCTTGGATGTCTTACCCTCGAGAGAACACAAAGAAGTTCATCAGCCGCGTAAGGATGGGTGACAGTATGCCTCCATCTTTGAGTAGCTGTAGGTAATAAGTGAAAGGCTAAATCAGGATATCCAGAGAAAGATCACAACTCACCAAGACAAAGGGTTTTAAACTAGAGACTCCAAATCTCTTACTTTTTTCTTTTTGTTGTTACTTTGCTTACTTGTATTCTTCTGTCATGGTAGACAAATCGATTTCTAATTCCATGTAATATTACATATTTTGCTTCACTCAATTCTTAATACTAATTTTTTAATGACATAGGGTCTATATTGCCCAGGCTGGACCCAAGCTTCTTGGCTCAAGCCATCTTTTTACCATGCTTAGCTTAAGTAGATAGAACTACAGATACATACCACTGTGTCTGGCTGTATGTACCTAAGACTTTTAACTCCTATTCAACTTTAGAGTTAAAATATCCTCGTATGAAATTCATTAAAATAGTATACTTGTGGGCTGGGAAGTTGGCTCAGTGGTAGAGCGCTCGCCTTGCATGCTTAACGCCCTGGGTTCGATTCCACAGCACCACATAAGCAGAAAAAAAAAGCTGGAAGTGGCGCTGTGGCTCAAGTGGTAGAGCGCTAGCCTTGAGCCTGAAGAGCTGAGGGACAGCACCCAGGCCAAGAGTTCAGGCCCCACGACCGGATCCCCCCCCCCCAAAAAAAAATAGTATACTTGTGACACAAATTTTTCCATAGTTGTATTTCTTCAAATAGTTAACTCATCTCTTATTTCAGAACCTTTCTACTACTTTATTTCCACAAGAAGAGAAAACTTCTGTAGTGGGAATTTATAAGAAGGAAAATTTTAACTAACTACAGCACTACAGCAGATATGACCCATAAAGATCAGCACAAATCTTAGCGTTACAGAGCAACCCAGTGAAGTTGCCAACCTTTTGAAGAAGAAGAGGCCGATGAGTCTCAGGAAAGATACCTGCAGAAGGAGAAACTTCTCTTAGTTATATGTCATAGTTTTAAGTCCAACACATGCCCATTATCATGAACTTTTCACCTTATTCAGTCTTCTTTAGGGCCTTTCCTACCAAAGCAGATTACAAACAAGCAGTCACAAACTACCTAACAACTTTCAGAAACAACTTACGTATGTGTATGCTCCTTGTTAAGGAATGATTATATCTCTAAGAAATTCTGTGCTAACCAATCAAATACTCCACTGGAGCTACATTTCCCATTTTAAAAGTACAGCAATGTAAGAAATAATTTATATGGTTCTCCATAGAACTGCTAACTACTTGGCATTACCTCCTATTGCTTAGAACACACTGTTGTTAATGATCTGTGTGTGTGCGCGCACACATCCCCACACAAGGTTTTCAGTAAGTGTAGGTCCTGAAAAAAAACCTACTTTTCCCTTTTGCATGCTCATTTGGCAGAAAGTGGTGAGCATTGCTGATAAAGTGACAGACTTCTTCCAAGCTGCCCTTAAAGCCCTTAAATGCCCTAAAGCATTAGGTGAGGACATCTAGATATTCATGGATTTACAAGCTGTGCTCACTGGCACACAAAGAGAAAAGAAGAAACATCTCCAAAAGGCCTGATGGGAGAGGGTTGGGAAGAGACTCACTAAGTTTTACAATTAACATTGCCATCTCTGAAGACTTTAAGAACTAATGCTAACACTACAGAGGCAGCTATGACTGACTCCTCAAGTCTATTTCACAACCACTGCATTGTCATAGATACAGCAAAATAGCATTTACATCACTTGCTCCTAATCGAGAATGTCAGTAGACCCATCATTAGCTCACACTATCTAATGTGTTATGGAAGCATTACATGTTACTACACTGCAGCTTCTTATGAACAATGTCAACAGAAACACTTTCCTTGGTAACCCTGTTACTTTGTCTTCTATATGTGAAAAACATTCTGAGAAAAAAGTCCATAAATATATCATCAAAGCAGTTCACAACACAATAATGGTAAAAGGTCCTCTAGTTTAATTGTGTGGTTAATATCAAATTATCACGTAGTAGTTTTTGTGACATTTAAAGGTGGCCTTTTGAGGCTATGCCCTTCTAACTACCACCAAGACAATTACCTCCATTGGACAGACAGAGACTCTTTATGGTAAGTCGGCCAGATCGATTCTGCTTGTACCTGGAGCAGGGGATGGAGAAACATACATGTAGCTGAGCACCCATGCAGTGGCTGAATATACTTTCTTGGGGGGGAAGTTGAGGAAGTATAGTGTCACTGACCTGTACAGCAGCTCCTGAGCAACGATATCTCCATAATCATGAGACAACAGGTTGATCCTGCGGTTCTGGAGCCCCAGATGCCGCAAAAGTGCCTCAACAATGCTGGCCTGCTCAAAGATGGAGTAGTGATGTGGTCTCTAAGAAAAACAAAGGCAAGGGACAGCATAGAATCTTCAGTCAAACCTCTGTGCTGACCTCTCCATCCATCTGCATCTAGCCCACGCACATTAGTCCCATCTAGCTGCTGCTTACCGGTTTGTCACTGAAGCCAAAGCCTAAGAAATCAAGTGCAATCACTCGATGAAACCTGAGGGTCAGACCTTCCCATATCTAGAAGAAAGGAAGAATGGCATGAACTTTGCACCTGCACCTCCCAACCCACAGCAGCCCAGAAGCTTTGTCCCTTTCTGGGTTTGACAGGCTGCGATAAAGCGAAAGCCTCATAGAACCACCACAGGCCCCAAGGACCATCCTTTGGAAAATGTTTGATTCCTAGCAATTAATCTCTATTGTGGGTGGAACTCCAACATTTTTAACTTGGCAATGATTCTTTGCAGACTGCCAAAGAATTTTTTACTCATAGTAAATGAGAAAGTTTGATATTTAATGTTATTTTACTAAGCAACTCAAAAGGATTTTCCAGTGCTGTCAAGAAAATCCTTCATTTTTGGATTAAGATATAGTAGGACTTAGAAATCTGATTTCATTACCTTGTACCAATCGTAGCTGGATGTTGGAAAGCCATGTAAAAGCACAACTATCTCAGGACTTCCAACCACACCCACGGAGTCTAGAAAGGAGAGAGATGGGTTAGGTCTGCTCCCTATAAAAATAAGCTTAAGCATATTAAAACTCCCAAGTAATCTAGTACAAAGGAGGAAAAACTGACCAGATAAGTGATGTTCAAATGATGCATTGCTATTTAAAATGCAAGCTTATTGCTTTAGGTAAGAATGAGAACTTAATTTTAATCTATGTATTAAAAATTATAAATAGCATACTATGTGAACATATTTGAAGGCAACTCTTTTAAAAAGATATCTACATTTTTAAAAACTATATCCCATTTTTCTCTTTGTTTTGCATCATTAATATGAAAGTGTGAATTATCTTTTTACTAAGAATTCTTTGTACCTTATCATTAAAGAATCATAAAGCCCTTAGCAGCTTCTTTCCAGCAGGCATCTTAGTTTATGCCGTTGGACAGCAGCACTTTTTATTTCATCAGACACCCAATCCAGAATCAAACTATAGCAAAAATCAAAACTATAACAAAATTCTGTCAGCTACAAAATCAATCAGCATGAACATTGTTGACAATGTTTGAACGCATATGATAATATGGAAGCATTAAACATCTTTTAAATTAGCCATAACAGGCAGCAAAATGCATTGCCACTAATAAGGCTAATACAAATTGTCAGAGACATGAAAAAATGGTAGAAAAGTTTTCAGAAAATGATTTATTTAAAAGCAATGAAAACTGTTTACATACTTTAACCCAGAAGCCTCCCCCTTCTTTTTACTACTGAAGTTTGGACTCTGGGGCGCAAGTTGCTGGGTTCACACTCTACCACTTGAGCCACTTACACTCAGCCTTGCTTTTTTTTTTTTTTTTTTAATTTTTTTTATTTTGGAAATGGAGACTAGTGAAGTTTTCTGTTCAGGCTGGTCTTAAACCAGGAAGTCTTATTCTTAAGAAATCTATACAAATAATCAGTGAAATACTAAATATTGAAAATCTGGAAATCAGTCAACCCAACATAAAGAAAAATATATACTTACTTAATTGAACATAGCAATGAGAGGAGGTCAGGAGCAATAATGAAAAACGGTTTATGACAAACATTTTTCGTTATTGCTCTTGACCCCCGCCCAAAAGAAATCTTTTCCAGTCTTTTTCTTAGTTTCTTCACCTATAAAATGAGATTAATGGCACTGCCTTCCAGTGCTATTGCAAAGATTAAATGGAACAGTGAATGTTGAAAATGTAACTCAATGCCTGCATGTGGTAATTACTTGATAAACAGCAGTCATAATAATCATTAGCAAATTAATTTATGTGGCAGTGTCAGGCTTAAATCACATTTAGGTACACAAAGAAAATTACCTTTATAGAGAACAACTGGATAAAATGAAATCAGGAATGGGAGCAGTGATACAATAGTAGCTACACTGCTGAATATTACCTGACACTAGGGGCACTGAAAAGCACACTAATATCTGATATAAATCAGATTGGAAAAAAAATGTGTCTGGAGCCAGGTGTATAGAATGAAATCTCAATTCTCCCTTGCTGTGTCAGCCGCTTTCTGAGTGTCCCTGCTCTGGAGTGAATGAGGGGAACTAGACTATTTCTTCAAGTACAGTACACAGAAAATGGTGTTCCCTCTGTCACTAAGGGAGTGGAGGGGGGGGCAACAGAGCTCAAAGGGCATGAAGTAGCTCGGCTGGGACATGACCCCCACCCACAATAGTCCAATAGTTCGTACCTTGATAGAAGATGCGCAGTCCCTTGTAGGTAAAAAACTTGCCATTGGTCTTCCAGGAGTGCAGAGCAGGAGAGAGCTGAGGGGGTGGGATGTGCAGGTACGCGGCCAGCAGGGGCACAGCCAGCAGCCCGACCTGGACCCACCACTCCCTCATCCTGTGGGAAAAGCAGTCAGGGTAACACTGCACTTCCGCCACCGCACCAAGGCACTGGGAGCAAAACCCTACCAGGCTGTGACTCCATTGCCCCCATAGGCACCGGGCCAGGAAGTTGATGAAAATACGATAGCGGCCGCCACCGCCATGGCAATCACTGTATTTGCTCACCATTCTAATTTTTAAGGTGAACATACAGTATTTTGATCTATAATCTTCCCCCTCTGCTCTCCAACTTTAGCCCCTCACCCTTGTGACCTACTGAAGAGGTTTCCTTGACTTTTACCAAGGTTTCCTAAGGGAAAAATAATCTAGTTAACATCATCTACCCCACCAATATGTTTAAAATAAATACGCTTGGTACTAACACCTAAAGATAGATGGTAGAGGGATATTTAACTTATTAGGCACTGCTCAGGATTTTGAGTAGTTATCAAGCCTTGGACTCAAGTGTACCCTATGGGAGCTAGGAAATGTCTAGGGTAGGGTCGGGAAGCAAGACAGACACACCCAACAGACACCCTGCATCACCCTGCACATTCCAACATAAGCAGCTTTACCATGACCATGACCCAAGATAGCTAATCTCTTGAGAGGTCTGGGTGGCAGATTATATTTCTGCTTTTCTTAGGAGATGCTTGAGTTCCCGTTGCTTTAATTTCATAAGGACCCACCATTACCACCGCTGCCCCCACCCCAGTGCAAACCAGGCAGGGCTGATACTCAGCATTTCTACGACTTCCGAAGGTCCAGGTTGATTTATCAACACTGAGGCCATGAGGCGAAGAGGAATGGAAGCTACCCGTCTATGCTCACTCTCCACGGTCACCAGGGACAGGACTGTCACACATCTCCAAACAGCCAGGATGGAAATAATACCTTCCCCAACTGAAAATTAGGACTGTCAGGAAAACAGCTACAAATACAGAAGACGAACTGCCAAGGCCCGAGGGACCGGGCTTAGCGTCTCCACACGCCCTGCCACCATACCTACCAGGAGTCTGGCCACAGCCCTGCTCAGAACCAACCAACACAAAGGGGAAACGCTTTCTTTTGACGGTAAAGACACCGTGTTCCACAGCGATAAAATAGTGCCTCTTCGGAGTCTCCACTGCTCTGTGCTCAGCACCATGAGAACAGGGACTTTTCTTTTTTCTCCTCAAAGAACGTGAAAGCATCACGATGGTTGGGTCTACCGTTCCGGACAATGCGAGACCGGACGCGGGAACGCGGGGTGCCTGCGTCGGTCTGCACCCGCGTGGGCTGCGCGCACACCCCACACCTCTCTTCTGGAGGCAAAGGACAAAGGGCGTTAGATTGTCGTTTGCTCCGCGTGTCTGTCTGTCTGTCCCCTACCTCGGCTCGCACATTTTTCTCGTCGCCCCCGGGGCGTCCATTTACCGTCCCAGCAGCGGAAGGAGCCGTGACTCAGCGGAGCACCAGGGAGGGGCGCGGAGAGGGCAGGCAATCCGGGCGGGGGGCTCCCCACCGGGGAGGGGAGGGGCGGGTGGAATCCCCACGGGGACTGGGGAGGGAGGGGAAGAGGTAAAGACCCAGCGCTGGGCACCCCATCTCACGACGCCAGCACTGCGTCCTCCCTTTCGCCCCGACAAAGCAGAGGCAAACCCCCGGGGCGTCGTTCTCTCTGCCACCTCGGTAATGAAAACGCCCACCACACTTGAGGGTTGTTAGTAGGGAAGCAATCAGGCAGACCGTAGGTAGAATGGATTAAATGAAGATCGATCTATCCTATCTATCTATCTATCTATCTATCTATCTATCTATCTATCTATCTATCTATCTATCTATCTATCTAATTTTTAAGTCACATTCACATTACCCGATGGAGTCAAGATGGTAGAATATGAATTCCACAAGCTCCACGAACCAACTTTCGGGAAATCGACCAGCCTTTCATTTGCCTAACACTGCCAAACCCGATAGCACCGCGGTGAGAGGATGAAATGAGCGGCGAACCCGCAAAGCCAGAGCGAACGCTTCCAGATGCCCAGCCCGTCGGTCACCTCCCCTCCATCCCGCCGGGGACCGCGGCGCGGCGCGGCGCTCACCCCGCGACAAGCCCCGGTCACATCGCGGCAGGCACACGCTCCGCAGTGGAGTCAGAATCGGGAAATCTTAGATCACTCCACGGCAGGATCGCAATCCTAAAACCCTAAACCACACCGGGGCGACAAGGGAGCCGCAAACCTAAATCACGCCATCGCGACCATCAGCTCTAAGAATCCGAAATCACGCCTTGGCGTTCCGGGTCTAAAAATCCTAAACTGCACCGCGGCCACGGTGAGGGCTTAGAAATCCACAGCGGATGGCCGCGGCCAAGGAGCCAAAATCGCATCTTGGAGTTTCCGCGTCTAAAGATCCTAAATTGCACCGCGGCAGCGACCACTGCAAGGTCCTAAAAATCCTAAATTACGCCGCAGAGATGACCGGGTCTGAAGCCCTACTTGGCCCCTGGATGACCACGGGATCCAGACACGTTCAGTCTCACCAGAGCGATGGGGGGGGGGGGGGGGTAAAATCCGGCGATTCAGCGAGGAGCGCACCGTGCCGCGGACAGGCCACCCTCTCCCCAGAGAAGCGATCTGGCCGGCCGGGAGAGGTTTTGCCGCGAAGGCCGCCCTGACCGCGGCGCGCCGAGTCCCTGCGGCCAGCCACACCCCCTCTCGCTGGCACGGCGCGGCCCGAGGCACCCACCTGCGGAGTCGATCTCGGCGCACCATGGCCGCGTTATCCCATGCCACGCGCCTCAGGGTGGCGGAGCTCTGGGCGCGCAGCCGCGGCGCCCGCAACCGTGCAGCGTTCGGTCGCAGCAGAGGTGCGGCCCGCGGCAGCGAGCGGCCACCCGGGCGAGCGCTGCGGCACTGCGCCCACTAGCGAGGCGCGGCTGCCGCAGGGGAGGCGTCTGGGCAGCGGCCGTGGCCCGTGTGCGCCGGGATGTGCTGGTGGCCGCGGCAGCGCCAAGCGGGTGGGCACCGACTTTTACAGCCCACCGGAGCCCCGCCCCGGGCCCGCCCACCGTGCCGCAGAGCCCCTCCTGCCCGCTCCCGCCGCAGAGCCCCTCCCTGCAGCCCCGCCGCCACTGCAGAGCTCCGACGCCCCTCTCGCGGGCACCTTCAGGGGAGGGCTCCCCCCCAGCACCCAGCTTCTCCTTCGCATACCACCCCCCCCACCCCTGACTTCCTGGTTTTGCTGAAGAAACCCTTCCCTGGCGAGTGAACGCCTCAAGCAAAATGACAGACCAAAGACCACCCTATTCCCCTTAAGCCCACCCAGAGGTCCCTCGGAGGGTAGCTGCTGCTTGACCACGGGACACAGGGGCTGGGGAGCTCGCCGTGACACCCATTCCCGCGCCGCCCAAAGCGTGCATGCTGAGCCCTGCGAGTGCTCAAGTGCAGAAGAGCAGGCCTCGGGGGCCTCACTTCCCCCGCCCCTAGCCAGGAGTGTCCACGGAGGGGGGTGGCACCCCAAGGAGCCACGGAATGACAAGCTCCACAGGACCCTCCGCTGGTCCGGTGGGATGGCCGTTATGAACGGGCCAAAGTTGCTGAAAGTCTTGTTTCGCTCACCCGGTGGCCCAGGCCACCCAGACATGTTTTCTCTGCGGCAGCGCGACGTGGCTGGCATGCCGGAGGCCGCTGCAGCACGGGGGACCCGCGCCGCACCAGACGAGCCCGGCGATCGGGAAGGCAAGACCTACCCCCCACCCTTTACTGTGAACAACACATCGAAATGCCGGGGCGCCCAGAGGTGCTAGTAAGGGAGGGTGGGGGGACCTTTCTCTCTCTCTCTTAATCCACAGTTCTTTAAAAAGCCTCTATTAGGACTCTGAAAAGTGCAGCGCATCCTGGAGTGCGCGCGCCTTCGGGCCGTCCCCAGGAATTGTAGTGTCCGTGCCAGGGAGGCGCTGGTCTGCGCGGCGCGGCCCGGCCAGCAGGGGCGCTGCAGGCTTCCGTTCCGCGGCCCGCTCGCCCTCCACGGCTCCGCGGCCCCGCAGCGCCAGCGAGCGCGAGCACAAGCAAGTTCGCCCAAAGACCGAGCACTGTGCCAATGGGGCTTGTGGACATCGAAGCGAACACCGGGAGTTCAAGGCCACCCACCCAGAGGAGCCTCCCAGGAAGGGTGGCGCAGTGCAGGATTCTCAACTACCGGGGTCCGAGTAGGAGGAACAGAGAGCACGCTTGTTTAGCCCCAGGCTAGGAAAGTACGTGCCGTGAGGCTCCTGCCCTGCGGAAAGATGCTGGCCACCTAGGCCGGGTGGGGGGTGGGGACAGACAAGAGCTGATGCTTTCTTTAAATTTCCTTTTGATATCCTAGCAACACTGTGTGTGTCGGCTCCCTCTTCCCTAAGCCCTCAAAGGCCGAGTCCAAGTATTCTTCAGCTTTTGTATCCCGGGAGTCCGCCGTGGTGCCGGCCACAAAGGAGACCCCTAACAAATGCCGTATGAATAAGTACAAGAATTTGAGGGCGCACCGGGGAGGAAGTAATTACGGGGAGGGAGGAAGGGTTGTCTAGAGTGATGAATAGACATTTAGCAGAGAGACAAAGAACATTCCAGCCAGAAGGGACGGCGTTCGCCAAGCACGGGAGGCTCAGGACCGTACAACCTTTGCGGAAACCGGCTTCCTTTGGGCTGGGGGAGGCCGCGGAGGGGGGCCGCGGCGAGGGTGAAAGAGAGACAGAGCCTTAGAAAAAGTAGCTGGGGGAAAGGAGGCTGGAATTTTTCCGAAAGAAAATGAGAAGCCACCAATGTATTTAAATCATTTATATAAAGTCGTAATTGATTACTTGACAAAATGTAAATGTAAGTCTCTTTACAAGGAGAGGCTAATCTATAGTATCTAATCATCACCACATTTTAATGACAAAAATTGCCTAGAAAATGTAGATCAATCCTTTCAACGGAGCAAAAGAGTTCCAATTTTAACTGACAATGACAAGAGCCTTTACAATGTACAGTTTTCATATCCCTTGTCTGAATCCAACCAACAGTTCCACACTTTCATTCTCACCAGGACAGAAGCACGCAGTGTAGGGGATGAAAACGATTTTCTAATTAATGGACTAAGTACCCCACAAAGGATCTTTTTTTGAAAGCCGTGGAACATGTCTACCCACAAGGAACAAGGTGGGGGTGGGGGGAGAAAGGAGGTTATGCCTCTGAAGGAAGAGATCAGGCAGGAAAGCTCCTGGAAACAAAAGAAACCCCAAGTCTGGTGTTTTGGAGAAATCTTCCTACTTGGAGTGCTTAGAAGAAGGAGAGCAGGAGGTTAAACGGGTTAGAAACCCCGAATTTGGTTAGGTAGAGAAGACATTCCTGTTCAAAAGAACCTCTGGCACAATAACAAGGACTGTGGAAAAACTCAAGAGAATTCTATGAGATCTGGTTAGCTAAAGCTGGAATTTTCTGTCCAGGGAGAAAATGCTGGCCATAAAGCCCCAGGAGCAAAAGAGTTAAGGAATCTTCTAACCATGCTTAACGTATTTCCCGAGGGGAACTTCCTCCACAAGGGTAGAATCTAGTCTAAGATAGAAAACCCTTTGAGTATGCAGGGAAAGCATATATGTACATAATGTACATCAATGTTTGCATTTATGCCTCTGGCTTGCTTCTGGACAGCCTTTCGCTTCTCCTAAACAGATAGCATCCTTGGTTGGCATCATATATAACAGTGAGGCTTATCACACATTCCTGTCACATTCCAATTCTGACAGAGTCCACGTCATAATTAGAACTCAGATTTGTTATTAAAAAAATTAGCATAGAAAGTGCATTCACATTCTCACTGATGCGTAACAGTGGTAGATAACAGCTTAGCTGATACCATGCGTTCAATAATCATATTTTTCTAATCACAATTTGACACCCCTGTGACCAATGAAAGGAGAATTATGAAGACAATAGGATAGAACTATGACTACCATTTTCAGGAGCCATTAATTACGGATTTGAATAAACTTTCAAAAGAAAGTTCAGAATGAGAGAAGTTGGTTGAACAACAGCACTATGATTTAAAGAAAAAAAAACACCTAGGGTTTTAATTAACAAACAGGTTCATTAAGGGTGATATAGATCCAATTAACTACTCTAACTATAGACTATGGAGAAGTATCCAGAATAATCTCTTCTATAGGGATTTTAAGAGTCACAGGAACAAAGTGCAGTGTGCGCAGAGAGCAACTACAATGGACTGTCAACCATGTCACTCACGATATAGCAGCTTTCATACTTTAAGCTCCTACTATGAGCATGACAGTCACCCAATTGATCCCTGATCTTCAAGGGAACAGTGCTGGATGCGAATTTCCATTCACACATCTCAGAGGAAGGTACTACAGCTCAGAGTGCAGTTGTTAGTAGTATGTGAAGGGACTGAATACAGATGTGTCTGGCTCCAGAGCTGGCGTTCTTTCCACTGCCCTACACTGATGCCCTGTTTGAAATAACTGGGCATGTTTGAGTTTGAAGAAAAGGAGCCTTGTGGAGTGAGTGGAAGAAGGAAATATATTAGCAATCCTCAAATATTTGTGGAAGCAGCTTTAGACATTTCATTCTGTGTGGCTGCAGTGAATGCAAACTGCAGAGAAACAGATGTCGATTCAACATAAAGAATTTTCCAATGATCAGAGCCGTCTAGTGGGGCTGGCCATTTTAGGACGTGACAAGTTCCCTGTCACTAAGGACTGGCTGGCCTCGTAGCTGCTGCTATAAGGTCTTAGTGTATAACAGAATGAATGACCTTTCAGGTTTCCCCCACTGAATAAAACCTAAGGCTCAGAGAAGTATTGGAACTTGGCCCAGGTGACCCCTCTATTCAGAGAACAAATCTCTCTTTCTCAGAGGTAGCCCTCAGTTCAGGACTCCTGTCTGCACATCAGCCTATCTCATTCCAAGGCCAAGAAAAATGTAGTTATCAATAAAAAGCCCATCAACTTCTCTCTTGACCAAATTTGGTCAATATGTGTTTCACATGACTAATGTTTCCTCCTTCTTCAATCTCATTTAGGGGTAGAATTCTTTGCAGCAAAAAAGGGGGGGGGGGGAATCCAAAGGTGGTGTTAGAAGAAGCAGCAAAGGAATGAACTAATCTCTCAGCCAGATGAGATGAACCCAAAGGACAGATGTTGTACACATTCCTTCACACTGCAGTATTACTGCCCCCCCCACCAGAAACAAACAGACAATAACAAAAAAAAAACAACCCTGTCTTTATTCATCCTCTGCATTACTCCACCTGTGCCTCAATCTCACACCTAGCTCTTATGCATCTTGGTCAGCCCGACCCACTATCCACACCCGAGAGACTCCGGAGCCGCTGAAACAGATAAAGAGGCTTAAGGAGTCTAATTAACTAACACTCTTGTATTTGTACAGCTCTTTGCCCTAGCACAGTCGTTACCTCATTTGCCGCTCACCACAGTCCGCAGAGGAAAACCATTACCTTCTTTCCTACTCACAGCCCCTCTCTTCCCGGGGAAGGAAGGAAAGCAGCCACGCTGGTTTCAAAACTACCTTCCCCCATGATTCCTCCAGCCAGGAGGCGTCAACTCCTAGCAGGTGCCTCGGTTTCCCTCGTTTGGCCTTGTCATTCACACCTTCCTCAGCTGCCCTCCTCCCGGGGCTCCATCCACGCCAGCTGAGCCCGGTGGCCTGGCCCTGGCTCCCCAGGCCCCCCGACGCCCCCCCCCCTCCCCGCGCCCACCGCCTGGGAAGTGTCGATCGCGCACCCCAGCCCCCGCAGCCTCGCCCAGCACCCTTCCCCCTGAGAGCCTGCGACCCTTGCACCCACCAAGGCTGACCCCAGGAGGGCAGGCGCCGCCCGCAGGCAGGGCGAAGGCGAGGCCCGCGCCCACGTGGCCGCCTCGTGGCCGCCCCCCGC